GTGGAAGGCCATAATGGCCCTGCTTTAAGTGGTTCACTGCTCCCGCAGCTCACCACACTGTCTCTGCCTCTGCTGCCATCCTCATACATATTCTTTTTAACTCCTTGATGGCCTTTCTTTAAATTATGATTTTGGAACTTTTGTTCCTGCTTCAACTGTCCAAGAATGAATCCTTGGTTCTTCATTGTCCAGTGAGCAGCTCTCTTCACTCTGTGAATTTAGATGTCATCCTGGCCCAGCCCATCTCTGGATTTTCAATAAATCTCTTCATTTCATAGAGTGTGTCTTTACTGTAGGACAGCATAGTCTCAGAGGTTCTCCATGTGTGATTTGTTTTGGTTTGTTTTTCTCAATGTGTTTAGTTCTGCTTCCTCACAGCCTGGACACCTCAGACTTTCTACAGTAAGCTCAAAGTTTCAAGCTCTGTCTTCTTCCAGATAACAGGTGGAAGTTACAATGTTTGTTTATTTGTTTGTTTGTTTTTTAAAAAAAACAACAACACAAGTCCCAGCCTCATGAATGTGTATTGCATAGTGTTTTACAGACATAGTTCTTTTCTATTCAATAATTCATATACATTTTGGGTAAATGTTTACAGAGCAAATTGGTTTTCCCATTCAACAATTCATACATGCTTTGGGAATGATTGTAGAAAACACAATATTAATGAAGAGTAGTGTGAAAAACAATGTATATGAACTTTGTGAACAAACAAATATGGAATTTTAAAAAACACAACAATTCATATGTGTTTTATTTCAGGACATTGAGTGCAATCCCCATAAAGTTACATTCATCCTTCACCACCGCCTCCCACTCCATATTTTTTTAACCTCCCTACCCTTCATATAAAAGTTCAAGCTGAAGCTGAGGAAAATTAAACCGAATCCACGAGAACCAAAATATAACTTTGAGTCTATCCCACCTGAATTTCAGAATCATCTCAAGAACAGGTTTGAGGCCTTGAACAGGAATGAGCAAAGACCAGATAAGTTGTGGGAGGATATCAAGAGTATCATCCAAGAAGAGTGCAAACATTCATTACAAAGACAGAAGAGGAAGAAAAGACCAAAATGGATGTCAGAAGAAACTCTGAAGATTGCACTGGAGC